GTTGCTGAAGACCGTGAAATGTCGATTCGTCGCCGTTCGCAGCAATTGGGTTTGCGAAACACATTTCGAACCGAACACTGATTTTGGTAATAAAATTCAATGATTTGCAAGCGTTGCTCGTTAGTAAGTCTATTCATGATGAAATGTCAAAGCATACTGAGCATCTTTCTCTTTGACACCATGTCTGAAATCCCACGTGATCTGTCAAATACTAATGCATGAAAATCCTAACCTCAAAAAAATCACCCGTTAGTATGTTCATATCGCACACCGTCTTCAAATCATATGGGCAGGGCGACTTTACCTTAGGTTTTTTTTTACAAATTATAACAAAAATTTGCTCCAGCTTTTGCTGAAAGGTAAATAAAAGCTCTGCATACATTTTTAGCGCATAATCTCAAAAATGCCATATTTTGAGTGGTGACTCTTTTGAAGATGGGTGTGCGATATGTGAATATTATTATTATTACTATATAAGTACTGATATATGTACACAGATCTGTAAAGGCAATAAAAAGTCTTCATTCCATATCTTTATCGTAAACATTGAATATGGATTGAATGCTTTCTGTCGAGTATATGATGCAAGTTTTGGAACGAAGTCCGTAACCATTGAATTCGTTAGTAGAAAATAAATTTTTACGAAACCAAGGCACAGTAGGTGTTCCAAATTTAATCTTGTTTGTGATGATTTTATTAGCAAGCAAGATAATATCCACATTTTGTACATAATTACATATGTACATATGTACATATGCATTCAAAAATAACCACAACTCGAAAAATCAGAGATGCAAGCAACAAAAAACAGTCTTAATGGTAATTTTCCAGTTAGAAAGAACTGTGAACTGTTTTATGGGAAAAAATCGATGTTGAAAAAATTCGAGTTGCGACTATTCTTTACATAAGATCCGATATGTGTATTTGTATACAATAATAAGCAGGGACGTGAACCGGTTTTGAACCGGAAAACCGCTTTTTTCTATTAATTAACTGAACCATTAACCGAACCGAAATTTTCCACAAATGATTGATCCCAACTGAAAACGATAAAGGTTTAAACCGAAAACCGAACCATTTTCTATAAAGGTTTAAAGGTTCGTTTCAATCAATTTCCAATAGATAAATGCACCCACCTTTTTTCGGGTTTTTTAAACATGGTAATACCTACCATGTTTGTTTACCATGTGACAATATCAAATGTAAAGGCAACCCGTCTCATTGGACAGACACTTGACCCTTAACCTTGCGCGTTGTTGCACTTGAACCGAAACCCTGGTTGAAATACCAAAAAAACCGTTTTGACGAACCAATCCAAAAGTGCAAAAACGGTTCGAACCGCTGAATCGAACCGACCAAATTTTTTATCCGATTCACGTCTCTGATAATAAGTATGAATTGGGCTTGTTTCTCTTAGTTTTTCCATTTAAAGTCAAAAATATTACATATACATATACATATACGTACGTATTTAAATATCATTAAATAAATTGCCCAAATTGCTTTTCTGGGTTAGGTTGTAATTGTAATTCTGTAATTTCTGTATCGTTTAATAATTGAACATAAAATTTTCCAACATTTTTAACTGGGGACTACTGTGGTGAAATTAGTTTAAGAAAAGCATATCGAGGGCTTATATTCGATACCCTCTATCTGCAATTTTCACAAAAACTGTCTATTTGGAAATATTAGAACCCTTCTGGGACTTACCTGTCATCACTGATGTTAATTCTGATTAATTCTGTAATTTAATAGTAAATTCTTCTGTCAAGAGTTGTACAAGATCAGCATTAATAACTAAATATCACCGATGACAGTTAAGCCTTAGGTGGATTTTTGTATCAGAATTTTTGTGAAAAGTGCAAAAGGTTTTGAATATAAGCCCTCGATATTAGTTTAGGATTAAAACATTTTTCCAGAAATCGAGCGAAATATTTCGCACAAAAGCTCAAATGTTTAAGAAAATGAGGCAGATTTTTAATAATTCTTTCCGCTAACATTTCGAGAACGTCTGCTTACTAAATGGGAAATTAAAGCGTTTATTATACTACTAAAAAAACAACGCCAATTCTTACAGCCAATTTCACAAAAGCAGTTTAAGTGAAAAATTATTTTATTTTTTTGAAAGTTATATAGAAAATTGACAAAAAATAAAAAATCCAATGCGACAAAAAAAAAATTCTAAAAAATTAACGGTAATTCGTAGCCACTTGAAATTTGCACATTATCAGACTAAAACTGCAGGGTCTAAAAAACTGTGTACTCTTCCGGGAAAAAAGTTTCAAATTTAGGTGAAATTTTTTTACACTTTTTTGTAGGTTTCTACAAATTGTTGAAATTGGGTATATATGGGGTTTGTCTGAGAATGAACTAAATTTTAATTGAAAATTCTTAAAAATAAATAAATAAACATAAGGGGCACACAATATCACTTGGAAATGGCGTGCTATAGATATGACCGATACTGTATGTATGTATATCGCACGTTTAATAATATAACGAAGTATTTAAAAATGTCAATTTTATGCTAAAATGCAAAGTTTTATCAATTCATACAGTTGGTATACAAAAAGACGGATGGAAAGACACATACATATCTTCGCCATATTTGGGAAATTTGGTTATCTGTTAGACTCAAAATATTCTTCTTATCAAACTTATGAATACAATAATGAAATCTCCAAAATCGTAAATTTTGAGTTACATCTCTATATTATTAAACGTGCAATATGTTTATACAATAATAGTCTCAATATCCGACAAAGGCACGACCTATAGAATGTGAAAACGTGGGGTTGTCTATTTTTTTCGTGGCCTACCTATCGGGTTGGCAGGTATGAAGAGAGGTAGGTAATATTAGTAATTTTCACTCATCTGTTTAACACATTCTATAGGCTTTATGCTTTCGATTGGTAAACATATATGTAATTTGTTCATTAAACAAATGAGTGCAAAATTAAAAAAATTATAAAAATTTTTGAATATTTAATTAAAAATATCCTGGCCAGGATTTTTTCAGCCAACCCACTTGCGAAATATTTCCTAACACGTTACATTTCATACAAAGTACATTCAACCCTTAAACAGACGGGTGAAGGTTGTGCCTTTGTCGGATCTCCTACTATAATGCTTTTCTTTCTTTAAGCCCTGTATGCAGCCATTATTTCGCGTGTGTGTCCAACGAATTTTGACATTTTTGATACCTCACAGCCTGTTGCCTCACTGTTTCCTCTAGAAATAATGGAACGGGCATACATTTCTGTTGAAAACCTGGGTTGCTTTGTGCTCTTTTTTCACAAAAAACTTTAGAAAACCGTAGTAGAAAGCGTAGTAAATTTCTTAAGAACTGCGTACTGCCTTAAGGAAATTTGACTCAAGAAAATTTCTTAGCCATTTCTTATACGTCATTTTATATGGAGTTTTTGCTTTTCTTGAGAGCTGCATACAGGCCTTTACAATTTAACAGGAACATATGTACGCCACATGTGTATGTATGTATGTATGTATGTATGTGCATTCATATAAACGAATATAACATTTCAAATAAAAGGACGAGAATGCTCTGGCAGTCTCTGGTAGTCGAAATTTCTTGATGTTAAAATAAATATAATGTACGCAAAAATACCAACTTTCATACTTAAATACATGCATTTGTATTTATTTATGTATAGGTGAACGAATGTTTGTTTCTCTCTTTAGGCAATACTGAGAGAATATTTTATCTACCCAGTAGGAAAAGGTAATGTCTGGGAATGCAAAAAGTAATGGATAGCCCCTGTGACCTACGCACGAAAAGATGCAAGAAATTCCCCACAGCGATGTCATACGAAAGTTGCTTGTCGCTTTACGAAACTATAAATAGAATTTAAAATAATAATAAAAGTAAAAATTAAGTCCGTGCCACCGGTTTTGAACCCGTGACCAACAACACGGCAGTCAAACATGCATCCATTCGGCTACAGCAGCTGTTGAGATCACGTGAAAAAAACATACCTGAGTTAGTTTTCAAACTTTTTGTTTTGTTTGTAGCTTCAAAGCTACACGTCAGCAGGGCTGCGAACTATACTTAGCTTCGAAGTACTATATTAAAGATAAAAAAGTACCAAATAGAAAAATAAAAGTGCCACTAAAGGTGTCATTCTTTTTAATTCTTCCCATTTAGCATTAAAATTAGAACACATTCCGAAAACAAAAGTCCAAAGCCAAAGTAAGATAAACCAGTTCTGCACACTATAGAAATTAAAAACTTCTAGTGGATAAAAAGAAGTCCACGCAAAGGATTTCACAAAAATGTATCGAAATATTATAATTTTTCAAAAGTGCCATTTTGGCACTTTGTGCCAAATTGAAAAATTAAGTGCCATTTGAAGTAAAATAGGGCCAGTTTGAAGCAAGTTGGTAGACCTGCACGTCATTTTCTCGCTTACATAGCGATACATCTTTTCGTTCAAAAATAGTTGTTAATCTCTTCCTAGTAGAAAAATGTACTGCATTCCCATTTTCCCCCTGGGTATTTGTGCACATACACCAGTGTCATTGTCAGCTACATATATGTGACCTGGTCTACGGAAAGGGGGCTTAGGTGTCAAAAAATCAATTTTCACTTTTTGGTTGATTCGGATGGAAGATGAGATGCTTTTTCACGTGGTGAAAAGCAGAAAATCCTAACTTGCTTACTTACTGGACCAACAACACCACTTACTGGACGTCCGGCGCGGAGAACAATTAACGAGATAATGAGAAACTGACGAAACGAGTTGCTTACTTTTAACAGCTTTTTCACAGAAAACTAGTTTTCGCACGTAAGCTCCCTTTTCGTAGACCAGGTCACATATGTCGTTTAGGATTCACAGCAAGTGCAACGATGCCACTAAATCCTCATTAGTGACGATGTCACCAGTGACCATTTTCGCTACTGGGTATGTATGTAAGTAGGTAATATTGCTCATTGCAGGCTTTGCTCAGTATTATTGTTGCCTCTATACCTCACCTTATCATAAGCGGGTCACCAACAGCTGCGGGTATATAAAGGCCGACACTCTCAACAACCGGCATAGTTGAATTCGAAACTGCAAACATATCAAAGCGTTGAATAAGCGCACACAATCTATAATACCAAAGCTAGAGAAGCCACCGTTCTTGCAAAAGATACCGTGTTTTAAATACCGTTTATAAGTGAAAGTACAGAAATACAATCACATCAAATTTAGAATGGCGAACCTACCATTGCTCTTGAGTTTGGCTGACGACTTAAGCCGCCTCACACCTTTCTACGAACCGGTGTTCTACACACACTGGCCCGCGATCACCACTTCGCCTAGTGGTCAATTAAGGAAATTCGAAAGAGATCTGCCTATTGCCTCAGTGGGAAAAGATGGTTTTCAAGCCAGTATGGATGTGCAGCAGTTTAAGCCAAGTGAGCTCAGCGTTAAAGTAGTTGACAACCACGTCGTGGTGGAGGGTAAACACGAGGAGCGGGCAGATGATCATGGTTATATATCACGTCATTTCGTTCGTCGCTATGCACTGCCCAAAGGCTTCGATGCTGGTAAAGTAGTTTCAACTCTATCATCGGATGGCGTGCTAACGGTCAGTGTACCAAAACCTGCCATAGAGGACAAGTCCAACGAACGAGTGATTCAAATTCAACAGACTGGTCCGGCACACTTGAACGTGAAGGAAAATCCAAAAGACAGCACCGCAGAAGAGAAACCAAAGGCATCAAAACTTTGATTTCCAAAATGTATTATGAACTGATTGAAAATTATTAAATTATTCAATTGTTGAGAAAAGTAAATCTGGTCGTAGGTTAAAATTGCATTTAATTTAAAAAATATAAACAATATAAAATAACATAAAAATGCTAAATTCTAGTAAGAATGGTAAAAACACGTTTCCTTTTATAGTGCAATGGACTCAGCAAATCGTTTTTCAGCTTAAGTTCAGTTAGATGGATTTGGGTTAAATGCAATGCCTTGCTGCTACATATAAATGGTGTCCAAACCACAAAATAAAACTCTGTATGAACTGAGACAATTGTAGAGGTCGATCGTAGCGACTGAGTTCTTGAAAGGTTATCACCCATATTGCGAGTGTCGACTAGTAGTAGGTAAACGACTATTATTCTATTATCGCTTTTACTTGGTATCGTGGATGTCGATTTCTCGTTCAATAAGCGGGTGTGAATATTTAAGTCGCTCATTTTTCGACAACTAATTATTTCTAGTAGGATGAGCGACTAAAAACTATTCACGTTCATTTATTGACCGAGAAAACGACGTTGGTAGTGCCATAGATAGTCGATAATCGACTAAGAGTCATTTATCTACAACTAGTCAACACTCGCAATAGGGGTGTAGATAGTTGTAGATAAACGACTCTTAGTCGATTACCGACTATCTATGGTACTAGCAATATCGTTTTCTCGTTCAATAAATGAGTGTGCATAGTTTTAGTGGCTCATCCTTCTAAAAATAATTTGTGGTAGAAAGATGAGCGACTTAAAATATTGACACTCGCTTATTAAACGAGAAATCGGCATCCAGAATACCATGTAAAAGCGATAATAGAATAATAGTCGTTTATCTCCTACTAGTCGACGCTCGCAATATGGGTGTCATATCAGCACAGTTTCGGATAAATCAAACCACTATATAGTACATATTCAATACATATATGTATATGTTACCGGCCATACCCGATCTTAGGACAAACTAGTTTTGCCTAGGCTAAGCTAGATAAGGGGCCACAGTATTTAACACATTTTTAAATAGTTTTTATTTACTAGCACTATAACTTTAAACCACATTTTCATGATTTCACATTCTTTTCAAGCTTTTCAAATGAAATTTATTTTTATTCAAATTTCCAAAAAACTGTTTTTTTGTTTACTTGGCGAGGCTTGTCGGGCATTCATTTTTTCATAAGGATATGTATATGTATGTACATTGGATCCTTATTGCCTTAGGTATAATATTTAATAATAAACATCACATAAAGAAAAGAAAAATAGCCAAACTTGGTCAAAAGGTCACTTAACTTAATCAGCGGATCATTAGTCTATATGTAAATATTTTGTATTTTAAACGGTCCTACCAAGCTAAATGTTCATCTGGTAACCCTAGGATAGGTACAAATTTGCTTGCATACCAGCAGGGAAATCTCTAGTTCTGAACTGGTGCGCTTCTAGTGCATTTAGACTGGTTTGCGATAAATCTCTTTTGCATGCAAACAACTAGCGAATGTAACACAGCGATGTCCCCTGCTGCAGTAGATTTTCTATAGTTCGGAACCAGTCCTATATTCGACAGATGGGATCTAGTTCGCTCTGCATCCCTTTATCTATAAATAGTTCCGAACCAATTCTAAACTCGGCAGACGAAAAAAGCGACATGATTTTTCAAACGGAGTTTTTTTCGTTTTCCCCATGTTAAAGTGTTCTTATACGATATGTATTTGTACATATCGAAATGCCAACATATCGTGTAAAGGCAAATTAGATTTGTTTGTTTTGTACATCAGTGATGGAAAAGTGGGCACAATAGTACCATTTTTGGCACTCATTCTCAGAGGCACTTTTGGCACAATTCATCCTGTTTTGCCACGATCATAAAATATAGAAATTAGGCATAAAATGCCAATATGTAAAAAAATCACATACCACATTATAGAAAGTAAAAATTAAAAGCACTAAAGAATTAAAATAAGGGTCGTGATAAATATTTACAATCCGCTGAATTCTATTGTGAATACGCAGTACGAAAAGTAAGTTTTCGAAACAACAAGCTTGTAATTCAGAATTTTTAGAAAGATTCTATGTTTACAGTTTCTGAGTTGATTAAACAAAAGTGTAAGTTTCTGCAATATCTCGATGAGTTTTGATATTTTTTTCTGACTGTGTCATACATTTCATTCATTTAAAAGATTTAAAATCGAAAATTTGGAGTCTCCCTGAAAATTCTGAATTCAAAGTTTGTTGTTGCGAGAACCTGCAGAATTTTTATATTGTTTGTACAATGTTTGAGATGCCGCTTTTTGTACATATATTGTGTTTATTAAATTATGAATTAGACTTTTGCATAAAATCAATAAGAAAAATCAAAAGAATAGGCAAAACTGCCTGAAAAGAAATTAAATTTTGTGGTACTTTCATCATCTGTTCGGCACTATTTTTGAATACCATTAGGCACATTTTGAAATTTTGAAATTTCATCCCTGACGTACATACGAAATAGAAATGTTTCGTTTGTGTTTGATTTATTTCGATTTCAAAGAACGTAATTTTAATTAGTTAATTAAATACTGTGGATTTGACAGACAGATGCAATTACATAGTTGCGTTCCCCAACTTTTCTGGGTTAAAACCTGTAAAACTGTCAAAGGGCAAAAGAAGCCAGAGAACCGAGTACGGGAACGCTTTCTGGTAAATTCCTGTAAATTCTTGCAACTTCTTGCGAGTTAGGGAACGCAACTCATGTGTATCGAAACAGTCACATTTACAGATGGAAATACATACATATCGTGTAAGAACACTTTCAGCGACTTTAAATTATTAAATGACTTCACAAAAAGGAGAAGGTTAAAAATTCGTCGGAATATTTTTTCTTTTTATGTATGTTACTGCATTTCTATAATTATTTTTTTAAAGGAAAGGTGTTCCCATACAGGTGATCCCATAGTAATTTGGTCTAAATCCGATCGTTGGATCATGAAGAAATGAATGATAATCTTAAATGTGTATATGAAAGATGAAGTCGTGTTTTAACCGACTTCCAAAAAAGGAGGAGGTTATCAGTTCGTCGGATTTTTTTTTTTTTGTATGTATGTTACCGCATAACTTTGGACCATGTCAACCGATTTCGATAATTTTTGCATCGGAAAGGTAGTGTCTCAGAGGTAGTGCCATATTAATCTGGTTTAGATCCGATCATTGCATCATGAAATATATATATATATATGTAGATATATATTTTTTTAAGTCGGCTTTTTTTTGCTAAAAATTACTTGTTTTTGTTTATAAATTACTTGTTTTTGAAAACACGTTTGCATAGAAAACTTTTGCCTTAGCTGAGTGTGCAGAGATGCTTTAAGAACGAAAACCCCCACCAAACAAATTTCTGCATCCCTTTTTCTATAATTCCGAACCAGTTCAAAATTCGTCACCTTAGTTATTAATTTTGAGAGAAAAGTTTTTTTTTAGGACTTATCACAATTTCTGTTGCTATTTTGGATTATAAAAAATAAAATGCCTCTGAGCTGTAGATTTTTGAAGAAAAACAATCAAAGTTTACGTGTACATATTTTAAATGGGAAATCTTTGCACGAATTCAGCGAGTACTTAATGTTAATATTAAGGGTTAAAACTTTCAGGGAGTTTTTTAGGTGTTTTCGACAAAATTTCGAGGTAGGAGTGAGAAAAAAACAATGGTCGCAAAAAAGCACCCTAGTGTGGATGTTTAAATATACCTGTGTATATGTAATGAAATGAAACATACGTTGTTTAAGGTTTCTTTGTTATTTTATTTATTATTTATAAACTTAAATTATTGTCTTATTCCTTTTAAAATTAATTAACAATTTAGAGCAATGTATTTCAAGAAAATAAACAATGAATTGATGTAATGGCACAGTGGTTTCTATGAGATTTTACGCACTTGGTTTCTCTTCTTCTGTGTTATCTTTAGGATTTTCCTTCACGTTCAAGTGTGCTGGACCAGTCTGTTGAATTTGAATCACTCGTTCGTTGGACTTGTCCTCTATGGCAGGTTTTGGTACACTGACCGTTAGCACGCCATCCGATGATAGAGTTGAAACTACTTTACCAGCATCGAAGCCTTTGGGCAGTGCATAGCGACGAACGAAATGTCGAGAAATATACCCTTGGTCATCTGCCCGCTCCTCGTGTTTACCCTCCACCACGACGTGGTTGTCAACTACTTTAACGCTCAGCTCACTTGGCTTAAACTGCTGCACATTCATACTGGCTTGAAAACCATCTTTTCCCACCGAGGCAATAGGCAGATCCCTTTCGAATTTCCTTAATTGACCACTGGGCGAAGTGGTGATCGCAGGCCAACGTGTGTAGAACACCGGTTCGTAGAAAGGTGTTAGGCGGCTTAAATCGTCAGCCAAACTCAAGAGCAATGGTAGGTTCGCCATTCTAACTTATGTTTCTTTGCTTTCACTTATACACGGTACCTTAAGAACGTTAGCTTGTTTAGCTTTTGTATTGTATGTATATTATTTAGTTTTTGTGCGCTTATTCAACGCTACGCTTTGTTTGCAGTTTCGAATTCAACTATGCCGGTCGTTGCGAGTACCGGTCTTTATATACCCTCAGCGGTTGGAGGCTCGCTTGTGATAAGGTGAGAGATTATAGCAGCAAAAATTATACTGAGCATGAGTCACTCTAGCCAAGTAAACAGCCGGCATGGGCTCTCCCATGCAACTAAATGTTTATACATATAGACTTACATTTGTACATACTCGTATATATGTGCACGCTATTGTAGTTGGTTTTTGGGAAATTAAAAGTGAGAGTCAGAATATTCCAAGTCTAGAAATTTCGGGAGAGTTTCTGGACGATTCTGGATGATGATACATACCGCATGTACTATGTAGATTTGTTTTTCAAAATAAGGCATTAACTCCACACCAATGGCTTTGTTTCTGTCTGAAATGCTTCGGTTCATAATTATGTATGCATGTACATTAGGGCGGGTCAAAAAATCAAGTATTTTTTTTTTTTTTTTTTGATCCGACATACGAAAACTAGAAGGCTCTACAAAAATGGTCCCGTATACTCTTTTCATTAATCTAACCATTTAAAAGATATTCAAGGTCAATGATTGAATTATTTTAAGGAAAATAACTTTTTATTTTGAATTTTGTAACTTACTAAAAAATTATTATTGTCAAATGAGTTCCAATTATTTCTATAGGAAATTGAACGCTCTATCGGATGAAAAGCACAGTTCGCCGGCGGACTGCAAAAACAACTTACTGGCGAGTCGCAAAACGACTTACTAGCGAGCTGCGAAAACGACTCCCCTGCAGCCCGCAAAAACGATATACCAGCGAACTGCAAAACGATGCTCAAAATGTATACCAAATTTAAAGTAAAAGTACAGTTTTATACCAAACTTCACTTATACATAACTTCATACCCACAAATTTTATTTCTTATTAATAAGGCCAATAGAGTGAACTGTACCTTTATAAAACAAAAAAAATATGGAAAATATTATGAATACTTTGAAAAATATGTAGGCTGTTTAAGTTTCTGAGCACAAGTGTACATTGTGGATTCCATATTCTGTCATAATAAAATATTGTCATAATAAAAGCGGTTTAATATCCAAATGAATGGCGTTTATTTATGCTTAGATATACAAAAATGTGGGCGTGGAACTTATCCAACCCAAGCCGAAGGTTCCTCAAAAAACTTGTGGGTTTGAAGAAACGAATTCGTTTCGAGTTAACCCAAACGACTTTACCAGACCGACGTCGCAACGACTTCGATTCGATGAGAAAAAAACCGAGTTCGGAACGAGTTGTATTTTGTATGGAAAAAACGACTTCGTTTCGACGTCGTTTCAAGTTTATCCAAACGACTTCGCCAGAACAATGTCGTGTCGACGTCGATTCGAACTCGTCTTCGCCCTGTGGCAAATTGGGTACATATTTAAATTTTTTCGCGAAGTGAATATGTATATTTTCCTGTGTATGGATGCATGTATTATTTATATATGCATGCATGGATATATGTAAATATGTGTACATTTATGTATGTATAATTACATACTGATATACGGTGTACGGAGATCTGTTCCGTTTGTTAAGGCAGTACAAAGTCTTCATACCATAAATCAAAGTCTATCAAGTTTATCGTATACATCGATTTTGGATTGAATGCTTTCTGCCGAGTACATGATGCAAATTTTGGAACGAAGTCCGTAACCATTGAATTCGATAGGAGGAAATAAATTTTTACGAAACCAAAGTACAGTAGGTATTCTAAAATTAATCTTGTTTGTGAGGAGATTTCACAAAAAAAATTGTTACAGTCCGCGCTTAAAGTCAATTGCATATAAAATATATGTAAATTTCTGAGCATAATTTAGCTCGGTTAGTTGGTTCCCTGGATAGTTGATTTAAGATTTGATTTTCCACGGTTAATTACAGGTATACTTATGTAGGTACATATGCACAATACCTTTCTTTTCCATTTAAAGTTAAAAATATTACATACATATTTAAATATCATTAAGTAGATCCCTCAATTGAAGCTATGCCTTTTCTTAGTTAGTTTGTACAATTATGCGAGATTTCTTTAATTGAACGAACTATTCAATTAATCGAGTATCGTTTAATAATTGAACAAAAAATTTTGCAACTTTTTCAACCGGGGACTACTGTAATGAAATTGGTTTAAGAAAAGCATATTAATTTTGGATGAAAACATTTTTTCCGGCAATCGAGCGATAATTTCGCGCAAAAGCTCAAATGTTTTAGAAAATGATTCAAGTGAAATGAGTCAAGTGAATAAATGTGTCGATTAAAAAAACCTGATTCAGTCAACCAAAAGACAATTTGGGGAAATTCTTGTTCTTTGTAAAAATATTTTCCAAATATGTCTTGAAAGTATTTTGCGAAGAAAAACAGTCGAAAGGTAAGCCAAATATAAAAGAAGTCAGTTTTTACGCTGTACATTTGAAACATACCATATGGACTTATGGTCTGATTATGCATACTTCGCATAACTTCGCACAACTTCGCATAAAATTCAAACTGTAATTACGTATGTACTTTGTATATATTTTGTATGTATTCCATTACCCAGAAATTAGCAGAACTTTTAAAAACTTAGCGATCTGTTGAGTTTAGATTTTGCTTCACATTTTCTTAAGTTACACTTGGTACAAATGGTTGTGCGAAGTTATGCGAAGTATGCATAATCAGACCCTTAGTTATGAACCGGAATTTTCCAGATACGATTTGCTCGAATGTACTTGAGCAATTCTCATCTACACTTACTGTAGGACTTAGTAGTCACCATTGAATAAATCGTTAATATTAAATATGATTGTTTAATCTTATCGACATTAATTAGGCACATAGCTTTGGTTTAAACTATTTATTTTTTTCGGTCAGTGTATAGTGCAAAGAAAATTTCACCTGTGGAGTTTTGATATGTACTAGAGCTTTCGATTTTGTTCGTACATTTTCAAACAGACCTTTCGCTGCTTTTTTGATTTTTGTCTCCCTTGCTACGGAAGGTTGGTTAGGTCCCCCATTTTTGCCCGAAATCGTTCACTTTTCGCTTAAAGTGTGTTTGTATTGTTCAACTCTCACAGGCGATTAGTTGAACGGAAAGTATAATTTTTATTTGAAAATATTCTTATGCCATATTTAAGGCTAAATATGTATACATATGTATATTTATATTTTTTATGTACATACACTGGCGATCAAAACTGTGTGCATGGTGATTTTTTTTTAATATATAATACCTTAATACAAATTTTAGATGAATGCAACAAATTTCCATCACAATTTTGAACTTTTAATTCTGAATTCTTGTATATGCAGTTACAGCCTTATGAAATTTTAGTAAAATTAGTACAAATTTTAAACAGCGGTTTTTTATATAAGAAGTGCAATTTACCAAAAACTGGCGTTGATTTTTTTTTTATTTTCTTGCAAATGGTCTTGCGCATTTTCCCTAAATTCATCTTGGAAAAAGCTATCAGCAAAAAAGTATCAGGAATTCATGCAATTTTTAGCCGCGTAAAACTTGCACTTATTTTACTAAATTTCATGAGCCATGAACAGCATAACCTAGAATTCAGATTAAAAAGTCCAAAAATGTTATGGAAATTTGTTGAATTTTTCTAGACTTTGTATTAAGTTTGAAAATTCGAATTAATTTTATTGTTTTTGCTAAAGCAAATATTTTTATAAAAAATAACAAAAAATTTACTTGTAAAACATTGTAAATATTTAAAATAAAATCGCCATGTACTCAGTTTTGATCGCCAGTGTAACTTTGTTTTATTCAAATGATATTGAATTTTTATTTATGAACGGTTCTGTTGTTCCATAAGCGAATAAATTTGTTGAATTAGTTTTATTTGTTGCCCGTAAAATACCCATTTTTCTCTCTCCGTTGTACCACAAGTCCCCCAATTTGTTCGTATCTGTACCCCTTTCGGCATTTTAGGTGTGGCAACCCTAGCAATGAGGCATAATGAGAAATAACCAATTGACCTCCTTTATCACATGCATACAATTTTGATATTTTTTGGAAATTTTAAATTTTTAATATTTTTGCGCATATAATTTTTTGAAATTTTTAGTGTCAAAGCAAGTTTTTGCCTCCTTCTGATTGGCTGAAGCAGAAAACTTTCTGATGCTGAATGCGTATACCACTTTTTTGGTTGCTTCAAAATGACAGACATAATAATTGAAGTGGTCAAATTTTCAATGAGCCAATTGGCGAGGACCCTTATACCACCGCGGCTCTTAATGCTACTTACATCATATATGTAAAGATTGATAACGAATGAAGTTTGTGCAAGTGCCATTGCAGAACCGTGGCGGTGCCACCAGAACAATTAATAAAATTGTTGCATATATTACATTTTAGTACTAGAGCCCTATATATCTCTAGAGGCATGGCGCCACACCCAACTTGTATGACGATACATTTTTATTTAATATAATGTATTTAATATCTATTAATTATTTATTTGGTATTTAAAAACATGTACGAGGTATAAGCAACTTCTATTTTATTGATAAATATGTTCAAAAGCTCGACAATTCTGAACAAACATTTGAACAGTTGCGCAATGAACGAGTTTCGAACGGGTATCTAAAGCTCTAAAATGTACCAACTCAAATGTGGTAACAGATTTGTATTGTATTTTATACAAGCAAATTTCCGACGTGCTTCACTGTGCCTTGAAAGTGTTTTTGGATGTTTGGTACTCGTATTGTAATATTTCATTTATTTTATCAGTTTAATTTAATAAAAAATTTCAAACAGGTAGCAACCCTCCACAAAAATATTTTCGGCAGTCAACTTTTCTAAACCTCTTCATCTTATCCATCTTATCAATTAAATTGAACTAAAAATTTCAAACTGGTGACAACCTTCAAGAAAAATATTTTCGGCTTTAAGCCTTCTCAAACCTCTTTCTTTTATCAGCCATATTGCAATATTTACTTTATCTCATCAATTTACTCAAATTGAAATTTTCAAACAAACTCTCAAATTTTTTTCTTTCTATATTTTAAATTAGACCTCTAGCAATGCATCGGTGAAAACTGCATTC